TTTCAGTCTACGTTAATTTGTGTTTACCAAAATAAATTATTTTAAAATTAAAATTAACTAAGCGGGAAGTGAAAATGAATTTTGGAGCCTATTTTTCCATATTGGCGCCATTATTTAGGGTATAGTAGACTTACAGTAAAGTCTACGTATATGTAGACGTCTATTTCAGTCTACATTAATTGGTGTTTATCAAAATAAAATTAAAAATTATTTTAAAATTAAATTTATTTATTTATGAATTAAAATGTGAATTACAATTTTATCAAAAAAATATATACTAAGTCTATTAAATATATAATGAAAAAAAAATTTGATTATATATTATAAACTATTTAAACAATAAAGAAAAATATTATAGTAGACTTCTTTGGAAGTCTACCTAACCTAAAGTTTGACCAAAATAATTCTAACCAAACCAAAATTAAACCAAAGAGTTTTAACCTAACCAGAAAAATAACTTGACATATAAATACTCCTTCTTATTAAAAAAAGGGCCGACATAAAAAATAAGCTGCCTCTCTCTCTCTCTCTGGCTTTGATGTTGGCTCGCAGGTCACTGAATACTCTCCGTACTCGACATCTTGTATGCATCTCGTTTGCTCTAGTGTTTTTTGTTTGTTTGAATGTCTCCTGTAGTTTTGGGAAGCTTCTCTGTCTCTTCGAGATTGTGTCTGAAATTGAAACTGTCTGATTCAGACCGACACTTTTTTTTCTTTTAAAAAGAAAGAAAATTTAGATTGTAGAGTGAGAGAATGGAATGCGATAGGGATTGAATAAGCATATGAGGGAGAGTTTATGATGATCTAATCTTTGATGAATCATAGTTTTTAATTTTATTTCGTTTTGAATCCTTTTCATTAGCTTCCTATGATGAAGAATACCTCTCTTATTACTTTGTCTTCATCGATTAGGTTTTGTCAGGGAAAGCGTTGCAGGGATCTCATCTTTCTGGACTTGAGTCCCGTGCTATTTCTTATGGCTCCAAGAAAGGTATTATTGTTATTATTATTCTCTCTTAGTGAATCATAGTCTGGATTTACCTCTTTACACCGATGTGCAGATGACTCATGTGTGTGTTTTCTTCTGTAATTGTTTCAGATGATGAAGAAGAGGAGCAACTTGCCATTGATCGAGAAGCTCTGCGAAATCGACGGCAGCAAGGACAGGATCCGATTAGACGGCCTTTCTCCACCGGCGGCGATGAAGAAGAAACTTAACTGATTATTATGATCATTTGAGAACTAGTTGTTTTTTATACTCGTGTGAGAAACTTAACTGATTATTATCAACAAGAAAGCCTTCCCACTGAAGAAGATGAGATACCTACCAATTCTGAGGTAACATCTCTTCTTAGATGTTTCTTACTATTTTTGTTTTAGGTGTGCGTCTAGACCTTTTTCTCGTTAAGAGTTCTGCTAACAAACTTGGCTGATAAAATTTAAGGAAGCTTCCGTACTCTTCATGGCCAATCTGTCTCCACAAACAACTAAAATATCACATATGTATGTATCACTTTAATTACAATTTACATCTCCACTTTTTTTTTTCTCTGTGCTGTTTTTTTCTATGACTGATGATTACTTTTTTTTTGCAGCATCAAGTTCTTCAAATATATTGGTGGTGTTGTTAGTGTGCGACTTATTGTAAACCGCCAGGCTAAGCTGCAGGTAATAACTTCCCACCATCATTAAACAACCTCAGTTGCTTTGGTTTGGTCCATCACTCATTAGTCTCTTATGGTCTTTGTCTCAGGCACAGTTTTCTCAGATGAGACCTGCCTTTATCCCGGGTATGGGTCCTCGTATACCAATGTTCCCAGGTGGTGCTCCAGGTCCTGGACAGCAGTTTTTTTACGGTCAAGGACCTCCACAAATGATGCCTCACCAGGTAACCACTTTGTTTTCTATTCTGAGATTTGGTTCATTGGATGTGCTCAAAACCAATCATGAATCACATGATAGGCTGGATTTGGATATCAGCCCCAGATGGTTCCTGGAATGAGGCCNCTGAGATTTGGTTCATTGGATGTGCTCAAAACCAATCATGAATCACATGATAGGCTGGATTTGGATATCAGCCCCAGATGGTTCCTGGAATGAGGCCAGGCTATTTTGGCCCGATGATGCAGCCAGGTCAGCAAGGGCCACGATCAGGTGGAAGACGGTCAGGTGATGGATCTATGCGCCATCAGCCTCAACATCCAATGCCCTTTATGCAGCCACAGGTTAGTTAGTTAGTGCTTAGTTTAAAAAAAAAACATGGCATAAGATGATTCTATAAGTCCTTGCTTTGCTTTCTCTTTTCTAGATGATGCAAGGAGGAGGGTAGGCCGTACGCCGCTTACATCGTCACTCACAAAACAGAGCTCTGGATCGGTCTCAACCAAAAGTTATTTCTTGATCGGAAAAGGTAGATCTTATAACTGTTCTTGATAAATCTGGATTAATAATATTGAATTCACCTCGATGCAGAAGTATGATATTTTGATCTTATAACTGCAGGTGTAAACGGTTCTCAGGCTATTCGGATCCGGCTTCGAAGGAGACGTATAAAATTAATATGTTTACAATATCTTAATAACACTCAACTGATTATGCAGCAGATCTTCTCTACTGTCTCTATAGCTTTATGCAGCCACATGGTTTGATTATAAATTCTTTGGTTTCTACATATTTATTTCCCTTTTAATGTTGTTTTATAAGAGGTGAGGGTGATACCTTTTTAAAAACATTGAGGATCATTGGTGTTGTATGATTATGTAAAAGAGTTTACACATTGATCATAAATACCTTGTCAAAACTGAATGCTGGAAGTTTACACATTGAGTTTAAACTTTTTGTCCCTGAAAAAGACTATTTTGCTTTCTTCACAAATTCAAATCTTTCAGATGTTAGAATTCATAAGTGTTTGTTTCATATGAAGAGAGTATGAATCCATCCTTCTGTATACTTTGAGTTTGTGTAATTAAGCTGAAGATGATTTAGAAATCCATCCTTATGTAGTAATAACAATACTTTGAGTTTTGTGTAATTTTTTTTGAATCATTAAGCTAAAGTTTTGAGTTTTGTGTAATTTTTTTAGAATCATTAAGCTAAAGTTTAAGATAGTAGATAAAGAGGACTTTGATGAGTTTTACAAGTATTAGGTTGCCTTAAGAGAGAAAGAATTAAGGTAGTCTCTAAACCATAATGCTTAACTCCATATATGGTTTACATAATTAGCAAACAAAAATTTCATGTTTGATAAAATTATAAAATAGATTTACAAGTACATCTACAATTATTAGCAAACAATATAGTTAAACCAGAAATTATATCATAGACTTACAAGTACGTCTACAAATTTTAAGCTAACAACATAGACAAACAAAAAATTTGATAACTTCCTAATTATAACAGATCATCTTCTGAAAATCATTCAAGACCCTTCTGATTAACTAACACACACTTCCATAAAAAAAAGTTTTGAAAAAACTTAATGAATAATACACAAATCCACTTTTGATAGATTTTACATGGTAGACTACATATTCAGTCTACAGACCTGTAGACGTTTTATTCAGTTTACAGGTTGTAGACTGAACATTAGGTCTACGTTTAGGTTGGTTTCTGCAATTGCCAAATTCACAGGTTACTTTCTGTATTTGAAAAAAAAAGGATTTTATACGAGTAGACTTACTTTTCAGTCTACATTTTTTAAAAGGTTGGTTTTGCAATTGACCAGAATTCGATCAGAGTTTGACTTTTAGAAGTAGACCTATTATGCAGTCTACACTTTTAAATTTATTTGAAAGAGGTTAGTTTTGCAATTGACCAAAGTTGACTTTCTAAGAGTAGACAGAACTAAATGTCTAC